CCCCAAAACCCCAAAACCCCAAAACCCCAAAACCCCTAAAGCTAAAATATTTATAGAATTTTCTAAAATATAAATTTAAATTAGAAGATAAGAAATGGAGAAAGATCCAGCAACAGCTGCCACAGGTGGAGGAGGAGTAGTAGTTGAACTCGACCATGCCATTGGTTATTCTGGAAAAATTGTAAACTCTGTTCACTTACACCCAAATGCCAATGACTATGTTCTAATTGCAGGAGCAAGCATTATTGTTGGAGATATAAACGATCCTCATAATCAACATTTCCTGAGAGGTCATGATGATCAAATCACTTGATTAGATCTCTCTTGTAATGGAAAAATGATCGCATCAGGACAGAAAGGAGATAACTCTGACATTCTTCTTTGGGACTATGAGAGTAAGAAAGCAGTTTTCAGATTATCGGAACATGATAATCAGATTGACTGCCTTCATTTCTCCCATGATGATATGCTTTTGATATCTTCTGGAAATCAATTAGACGGTAAATTATTTATTTGGGATACTTCTAATGGATATATCGTTACATCGATGCAGCTTTTGCCCACAGTTATCTCTGAAGCCCCCAACTGAATCAGTTTCGGTGGATTTGTAAAAGACGTTAAATTGAGAGAGACAGCAAACTACCAGTTTGCCACTTCTGGAAGCAAGAAATTAATGTTGTGGTCGCTTGAGCCAAGCACTGGAAATCTAGAATACGAGCTTATATCAACAGGAACTTTCATTAGAGATTACATATGATTTGCATTTGGAAAGCCAAGCGAACAATATTTATTTGCTGGAACAAAGAGTGGAGATTTTGTGTCATTCCAGATAAAGCATAAGCTTCTTGTCTTCGTTCAAAATGTATGAGCTCAAGGAGTAACTTGAATCTCTGCTGTTACTGAGGATAAGGTATGCTGTGGAGGAGGGGATGGTACACTTGCTCTTTATCATGTCGACGGAAAATTCTGCCAAGAACTTCTCAAGACCACTCTTGCTGGAGGGATCAATGGGCTCTCTTCTTCTGAAGATGGAATCCAGTTGTTAGTTTCTACTGATAGAGGATTCATTTACAGAGTAAGAGTTTCTGACTTCTCATGAATGCTTCTTGGAGAGAATCATATCTCTGATGTCTTACAAGTTTCATTCATGAATGGAATTTCAGATAAATTTGCAACATGCTCAGAAGATACAACCATCCGTCTTTGGGATTCTAATGATTATTCAGTTTATGCCAGATGTGCAGTCCTAGCTGGTGGGCATCCAACCTGTTGTAACTTCACTGAAGAGGTTGTCATTTCTGGATGGTCAGATGGAAAAATCAGATCTTTCAGAACTGACAACTGCGAATTATTATGGGCAATTGATAATGCACACAAGAATGGTGTGACAACCTTATGCATTAGCAATAACTTCAAATTCCTTGCAACAGGAGGATATTCAGGAGATGTAAGAGTTTGGGAGATTAGATCAAGAGAACTTATATCTCATCTCAAAGAGCATACTAGCACTGTCACTAAAGTGGAAGTCCTTGAAGATGATATCCACTTGCTTTCTTGTGCCAGAGATAAAGCAATTCTATGCTGGGATCTCAAGAACGAAAAGAGAGTTTCCAATCATACCCAGAGAATGGGAGGAATTAATGGGTTCTCATTCAATCCAGAAAATCAAAATAAGGTTCTCTCAGTCGGTCAAGAAAGAAAGGTAACTTACTGGGATTTGTCTAAGAGCGAAGCAGAAGGAGTTGTTGATACCTCATCTAACCCAAGTGAAAGTGACGAACAATTCTCTATTGATATTTCTAAAGACGGAAGATACTTTGTTACAGGAGGAGCCCTTGGGATTCTAAGAATTTGGGATTATGTAGAAGGAAAAATTGTGAGTGAACAAGCTGGGCATTCTAATACAATTACCTCTGTCAGTTTCACTCCAGATGGAAAGCAAGTTATCTCAACTGGAAGAGACGGACTTGTTCTTGTATGGAATGTATTTACTTAAAAGTGAATAAAACTCTACTTGAAAAAGAATTAAACAATTGGATTAAATTAATCACGAATTAAAATCCAATAATCAAATCCAAAAGAGGGGTTTTGGGGTTTTGGGGTTTTGGGGTTTTGGGG